TTGCAGGAGCATATTACTTAGGATTTCAGAGTAACTAGTTAGCTAAATCAAAGTTAGGCTGTATAAATAACTTCTGTTAATATTGTACCATGTTATTTAGAAGTATAATCTAAAATGAACAGTGCTGATAGCTTTTAACAAGTGTGCAAGTGGTCAGGAATACATTATTATTTCAACATCTTTATAAATGTCAGTGTGAAGGAATTCAGACTCTGAAGTTGGGCCATGCAAGTGCTTGGCAAGTTTCCTGCTATGTCGTATGGTTGCTCAGTGACTGCTGACTCAGAATCTAGACAGTGTGGAAGGGCCTCAGCATATCCCTGAAGTTAGTATCTTCACATATACATTAATCCAGTGGGGCAAAATTCACTGGTTTTGAATGCCAGACTTTTACAGAAATAGCTTTGTTTTAGTTTGCAGGTTCTGACTTTAAAACAGGTTTAGAAATTCACATGATCTGCTAAGATCTTATTCTAGGAGACAAAGAATAAAAAAAACCTGCTGTGAATATTTTTTAGAAAGAAAACAATATATAAATACCAGAAGCCACCATTAGAAGGCATTATTCTTCCTCTTTTCTGACACATGTCCTGCTAGAAAATGCTTTTAATATAAAATATGTTAAGTTGCCTTCAGGAGAGCATTTTCCTCTTTATAACTGATACTATACAGTCTGAGACGAGAATGCGGGCCTTAATAGACCAGCCTAAACCCTGTTGCTTACCTCTATTTTCTGTAGCCTTTTTCTCTACAACACTGACAACCAGCTCTGGTTTCTCTATAAGTGGGTGGATACCTCTCTCCCATTCTTTCTGTCCATCTCTCCCTCCCTGTCTTTCTCACTATCTTCCTCCCCATTCCCACCACTTTAGTTACCTGTTTATTAAGATCTAACTAGCAATTAGCAATTTGTAGAGCTTACATTCAAATTCAGGTCTCTCTGGTTGCTAAACCATTTGGGTCCATTTGGTTCTGAAGACTTCTACCCAAATAAAAGACAGTTGAATTGCCATCTGACTTAGACCCATCATTGTGGATTTTTTCCTTTTTTAAGAAGGAACTATTTATACTAATAACATTTATTGAAGCAAAATAACATAATATTTACTGTCTACTACCCTAGTCTTGTCCCATCAGTATCCTGTAAATGCTTTGCTCCAGCAAAGCAGGGCTTTCTTTATTTTTCCCTTCTTAATCATCATCATAATAATAGTAAATTAAATAATAACTTAGGATACAAGTCCATCAGAGTATAGTTATTAAATTATAGTCATTTAAACTATTTTATTAAACTGATTCCTGTAAGGAATTATTTTTCAGATCTCATTGGTCTTTATATGATCTGGATTTAACAATGAGTTTGTTTACAAATAGGATTTAAAAATTCTGTATTTAGGCTTGCTAATATAGCCTCACCCTCTCCCCCAGACTCATAGCAACATCATTCCCCTACCTCTGCATGCATGCACTTACCTACACACACACACACACACACACACACACACACTTACACTCACCCTCTCATTCCACAGTCATCCTTATAATTACCAAACTCTACTAAGGCATTTTTAAAGTTTTTTTTTTTTTTTAAGATTTATTTATTTATGCATACAAAAACTGGGGTACAGGCCAGAGGTGCAGGGGAGTGAGAGGATTCACCAGAGACAGACAGAGGATTCACCAGAGGTTTCTTGATACTGCTTGATATTCACCAGAGATAGAGTGGGGAACAGAACAAGCAGAGTGACTGAATATACTGCTGAGGGGAGCAGTGGGCGAGTCAGGAGAGGTCTGCTGCACCATGCGAGTAGCTCCCTGGCCAGCTGGGGATGGAACTCGTGCTGCAGAGGCTGTGGATAGCTTAACAGTGCTGTGCTTAACCCCTTGTGACATCAGGGAGGCCCTCTAATTTTTTTCTTTTTTTTTTAAAGATTTATTTATTTATGCATACGAGAACTGGGTGTAGGCCAGAGGTGCTGGGGGTGGGGGAGGATTCACCAGAGAGAGTGGGGAGCAGAACAGGTGGATCTACTGAAATGCACTGCTGAGAGGGCAGCAGGCGAGACAAGCGAGGTCTTGTCGGTTAGCTCCCTGGTCAGGGATTGAACTCATGCTTCAGTGGCTGTTGATAGCTAGTTAGCACAGAGACTTTATCCCCTGCACCACCAGGAGGCCAAGGAATTTTAAAAATTTAACCCCTTATTTCCTACCAGTTTTGGAAAACAAAACCAAACTATAATTTATCTAGTTAGCCACATTATTGGGGTAAATATGAATTTTCTTTTTATTTGGGGGGATTGTCTTTTCTTTTATATATTATTTGACACAACAAAATGATATTGGAACATGTATCTAATTTATAAAGCATAATAATAAAACAAACAGTTATAATTCACTTAGAGTTCGCCACTGGTCTTCAGTAGAAAATGTAAGTACAATTGAAGCTTTCTGTGTACTTTTCCCCATTCATATTTCCTCCTCTCCCCAAAATTAATCCTCCCCAGTTTTGTTTATTCTTCCTCAGCTTTTATTAGCTAGATTTTAAAATTATTTTTGCTTTTGCTACCATTTTACCTCAACCTTGAGTGAGTGACTTTCACAGTCTAAAATTTAGCATGTTAAATTGCAAGCTAATGTATGTAATTATTTAAGTGTAAATGCATTTGTAACCATAACCAACTCTGTAATAAGATGTGGACACAGACAGTTTATAAAGTCTCATAAGATAAATCCTTTCATTTTATTGAACATATAGGATACATATCTAGATACTTTCTTGATACTGCTTAATCTTTTCTAGCATCACCATCTTATGTTACTTCCGATATGTTTATCAAATGGAAGGAAAACAATGACTTGTGAATATAGCAATTGTGTGTTATATTCTCTGACATTACTAGTTATCTATAATCATATCTTTATAAGATCCAAATTAATTTTCAGATTTAATATATTTTAAAATCAAATTTCTTTCTTAGCTTAATTTTTTTAAAAGATTTATTTATTTATGCAAGAGCTGGGGTATAGGCCAGAGATGTGGGGGGTGAGAGGATCCACCAGAGACAGAGTGGGGAACAGAACAGGCAGACTGACTGAAATACACTGCTGAGGGGAGCAGCGGGTAAGACAGAGCGGTCTGCCTCGCCATGTGGGTTGCTCCTTGGCTGGCTGGGGATCGAACTCATGCCGTAGAGGCTGCAGTTTGTCTCATAGTGCGGTGCCCAACCCCTTGTGCCACCAGGGAGGCCCTCTTAGCTTAATTTTAAAATAATTTATAATTTATAAAATATAAAATAATTTATATTTCTGAAGGGTCTAGAGTCATTATGCATTCAGATTGAAATATCGTTTATATAATATTTGAAAATGTTCAAAAATGTTCTCATGAAATTTTTGATAAATGTTTTTATATTTGTTTCCTTATGTATTTAGCATTTTGTGAAAGATAATACTAAGTGTTGTTTAAAAAAAAAAAACAGGAATATTGTTATTTTGCTGTAAATTAACCATGGGTCACCATTTATTATATATAATGCAGTTCAAAGGTCAATTATCTAACAGATTTTATGAGGTAAAACTTTGAAGTAAGATATTTTCTTGAATTTCTTGAATTTATGTAACTACCATCAGGCAACAATCTAGATTTTTAACCATATAAGCATCTTCCCTAGTTACAGTGTTTTATATTCCCTATATAGGAATTTCTGTGTTTTGTATAAATGATATAGAAGTATCTTAGGAACTGAAGATGAAAAGAGCTCATTCTTTTCCGCTTTCATTCAAGGGAATAAAAGACAGATAAAGACTGAGAAACTTGTAACCGATAGGCTCTGTTTTATTCAGGCTAGTTATAGGCAAAGCCTGGATTAACAAAGACAGTGCCAGACATTTGAAGTTGGTCATCATTTGCAGGACTTAACTAAAGCTATCTACATAGCCAGCTTGAACTGAGTCACAAAAGGGAAAGCAAATCTAAGGAGCAGTTATCCTGTACTTCTGTAATGGAAATAATAATGTAAACCAAGGTTAACTCCATAAAAAAATATTCTTTAAAAAAAGGTGAAATTTGATCATGAGCTGATATATGGGTAAGATTGATACAATTACTGATTCTTTAAAAATTTTCACTGTGGAGTAAGTCTAAAAGATTCAGAAGTGGTTGGAAAATAAAGTGAGTGGGTCTTGTAATCTGAAGTATGCTGGGATTTGGCATATTTTATCATAGAATCAGAGATGTGTCTGTCCCAGAGTACCAAATTTTTAAAATGGGTCTCTTTCCCCAGTGCTTCAGGATTCCTTAGAGCCACACTTTTTTTTTTTTAATTTATTTATTTATACAAGCACTGGGTACAGACAGAAGCTCGGGAGGGTGAGAGAATTCACCAGAGCCAGAGCGGGGAAAAGAACAGGCAGACTGATGAAAGAGAACCACGCTTTCTTTTTTTTTTTTTTTTTTTTTTTTTTTTTTTTTTTTATTTATTTATTTATTTTTATAGAGGCATGTTTTATTTATTTGTTTGTTTGTTTGTTTATACATGCACTGGGTACAGTCAGAAGCTCGGGAGGGTGAGAGAATTCACCAGAGCCAGAGCGGGGAGCAGAGCAGGCAGAAGGACCGAAGTACACTGCTGAGGGGAGCAGCGGGTGGCAGGAGAGGTCTGTGCGCCATGTGGGACCCACCTCCAGTGGCCGGGGAGCAGCCGGGGATCGAACCGGCGCCACAGAGGCCGCGGGCAGCTTCGCAACCCAGCGCTCAACCACTGCGCCACCGGGGAGGCCCGAGAACCACGCTTTCTTAAGAAATACATCTACTGTTCAATTTCATTTGTGTATATTGCCAAACAAGGCTTTAATCTAAACTTTTGCTACTAAACTTCTTTGTCTCAGGTTGGTTTTACCCTTTCTTTAAGACATTCTTTGCCAAAACTGTCCTTTAATTCCATCATTTAATTTTTTTAAAGCATGCCTCATTCATTTCTTTGTTTTACTGTTTTTGTTAGGATGGACGATTGAAGCCAGGAGATCAGCTTGTCTCAATAAACAAGGAATCTATGATTGGTGTATCATTTGAAGAAGCAAAAAGCATAATTACCAGAGCCAAATTGAGGTAACTATCCTATCCATACGATCGGATGAGTCATTTAGCATGACTCCTTAAAAATAGTAATGTACATTATGTTTAGTACTTTAATCCCTAAAGAAAAGTATTCTTGATAGTTTTTGCTGATATATGAAGCATTATTATCTCAGGCTTCTATTATACTATAGCTGCAAATATGTATAAAATAATTTCTTTTAATTGCTAGATCAGAATCTGCTTGGGAGATAGCATTCATAAGACAAAAATCAGACAGCAGTCATCCAGAGAACCCGTCCTGTACATCCCTTTTGCAAGATTCAGAAGAATATGGTCCTCAAGGTTCAGCATTTAGTCTTATAACTTCCTCCCCTGAAATACTAATTCCAAAGACCTCATCTACTCCCAAAACTACAGATGCTGTTTTACCTTCTTTTAAGATAAATCAGGTAATCTTCAATTTCTCTCCTTATGCAGTCCATAAATCTCCATATGTTTTTATGCTGTTATATACACATAAAATTATAATTTTAGTAGTACAGTTTGTTAGCAAATTGATATTTCCTTGAAAGAGTTTTTTTTTTTGGTTTTAAGATACCTATATTGTGCTGTCAGTAAAATACAGTTTTTTAAATCAGCGTGTCTCCTGTGCCAGAAGATCATACTTAGTTAGAAGATACTTGACTCAATGGAGTCACAAAAATACATTTCATTCTAAACTATTCGGAATGTTATATTTATTTTCAGACAGTCCCTAATATGGTTCGCTTCATTATTATTTGTTTTATTCCTCTTTGTTCCTTAGCTTTTTATATACAGTGAGGCTCTTCCTAGTCATCCAATGGAGGTGGATACTATTCCCTCACCTGTGGGTTCTAAAATATAGTTCCCCCTATTTGAATCATGCAAAAAGTTGAGTTTCTGTGTCAAAATTGATACAATTTTTAATTGCTAAAGTGCCCTAACAACAAAGTTATAAAATAGAGCATATACCTCTTAAATCTGTGTTAGCTATGAAACAAAATAGGAAGCTCAGGTAGATAGGCTTTCAGTGAGTGAAATAAAATTTGTCAAAGGTAACTTCAGTTTTAGGTAAATGCTAATTAGATACAAAGTGTAAGTCTGTCAGCCCCTTATACTTTTTCATCTGAGGTTTTAATGCCTTCAAAAAATGGATACATGACCTTATATTTTGTTGTCCTTGGACATGGTAGAGCTGAAATCACTTACCTTTAATTCTGAATTGCTTTGTTTGAAGATGACTATATCAAAATCTTAAAGGTTTAATATTTTGTGAGCTTTTGCTTTAATCTCTTTAACCATTCATTTTATGTTAACATTAGCTTCTGGTCTGGTTTTTGACCTACTTTAAAAAATGCATTTCCTATTCCTCATTTTCTTTCATAGATAAAAGCTGGATATGAAAAAACAGAGCAGACTCCAATTACTTCTTTGGACAACAACCCTACAAATATATCTAATACCGGTAAATGCACATTTAATTCCTCTTTCTTGTTATTTTTCTCAATTACTCTCTCTCAATGAGGAGTACATAATGTGACTTAATAGTCTTTTAGAAAGTGCTTTACATCTTTTTTCCTTCAGTGAATAAAAGGATAAAATGAGTGAATTGTGCAGTGGTACCTGTTAGATTATGACTTGTTGGAAATTTTTCTTAACAAATGGTTGGTATTTTAAAGGAGTCATTATCATAACATTATCATGTCTTTGAAGGTGTAATACTCTTTGAACTATTGAAACTAAATAGTGAAAAAACTCTTATAAATCCAGATTAGGTTGTCTTGTCCTTTTAGTGAAATACTGGTAATATATATTAGATGCACTTTCAGAGAAATTATAGAAGAGAGCATAACTTAAGAAAAGAAATAGGTTTTGGTTTTTTTGAAAGATATAGTTACATATTAATTAGAAAGAACATCACTATTAATTTAGTGTTAGTGGTTCCTAATTATCATAAAATTATTTTCAGATTTTTAAAAAACATTAAAAGACTAATTGTAGAAGCTACCAATTTTAAAAAAACAAGGATTTTTATCAAGTTGTAAAATGTCTATTGTCAAATATCAAGAAAAAAATTCCCTCCCTTTAAATTATCTCCAAAAGTTAAATACAACAATGAAGAACTATACTTATTAGAAAAGTTAATTATATATTTTTAGGTTATAATGCAAGTTTTATACATGTATTTTAATTTTTAATAATTTTTATCTATATCACAATTACAAAATAAGGAAGAAATAGTATAAATTATATAGTGTCTTAGTCCACTAGGGCTGCTATAGCAGACTGCCACAGACTGAATAGCTTAAAGACAACAAACATTTATTTCCTGCAGTTCTGGGGACTAGAAATCCAGGATCATGGTGCTTGCATGGCCTGAGTGAGATTCTCTTCTAGTTGCAGACTTCTTCTCCTGTCCTCACATGGTAGAGGAGACTATGGATAACACAAATCTAAAGCACAAATTCCATAAATGACAGCTCCATCTTTGTGACCTAATCACTTCCCAAAAGACACCCGTCCACGTACCCTCATCTTTGGGTGTTAGAATACCAACACATGAAATCTGGAAAGACATAAACATTTAGATCATAGCTATTGCACTTCACAGGGATTTATAGTAGATTCCACAATAGTTTGCTCTGATTTGAGCAGTATTTATCAGTGGGCTAGCAGCAATCTTTAACCATAAGTCATAAGCCTTTTTATTAAGTGATACTTATTGACTCTTAGAAACTTTATTAATATTATTCCCCTTACATAATTAGTTTCTATTATCTTGATATGTTGTTTTTGTTTTAAACTGGGAACCCTTATGAGGAAAAAATAAAAGACCAGATAAAAGAAGCAAGCAATGGTGAGAAGACATTTATATAACATGTTTTTAATGTTTAAGTTATTAGCTACTCGGTGCCTCTTTCAGCCATTTATTCAGTAAGCATTTACTAAGTATATCACATGTACAGAAAACATAGTTCAGTAGGAGTTATGAAAGAATTAGGATATTTTCTGTGAGATACTTACATGGTGAAATAAACCATGGGGTTTAAGAACCATCATTATTCAGATTAGAAAACATCTAAATATGTAAATATATGTGTGTGTTTGTTTCAGTGTGTGTGTTTATGAAATAATATTTGTAATAGTCTGTATTAAGAGCAAGTTAATAGTCTGTATTAAGAGCAAGTTATAGGTGGGTTTAGTCATACAAGAGCATGTTTTCTTGTGGGTGAATAACACGTTTGCACAAATAATGTTAGAACATTATTACTATTAAGAAATAGTAAGAGGCCTGAGTATGGTGTAGGGAAGGTGCAGTGGTTAATCAATAGGCTCTGAATGCAAAATTAGAGGTTCATATTTTTGCTCTCAACTCATTAGCAATGTCACCTTGAATTCGTTACATACCTTGTGGGATTGTTGAAGGCATTAAACCATATCATATGTGTAAAGCATTTAACATTGTAATTAGTATGTAGGCTATGCTTAGTAAATTTTGCTGTTACTATTGTTATACAATCTACAGACTAGAGTGAGGCTCAGTAATATTCCAAAGCATGTTTCTAGAATAGAACTATAAGCTTCTAATCTTTTTTTTTTTTAATATTAAATTTTATTTTTATATTCCCCCACACAATTGCAAACGCCCCATTCTGACCCCAATCCTTCCCCTCCCGCCCCCACCCCCCAAAAAGTGTCTCTGGTTCATAGTTTTTTGTTGATTTTGATTTTCACTTTCTTATATTCATTTTCCTGGTCCCTTATTTAAGTTTTCTAGATTCCTGCTATGAGTGAGACCATCCGGTATTTTTCTTTTTCTTTTTGGCTTATTTCGCTGAGCATGATCCCTTCCAGCGCCATCCATGTTGCTGCAAATTGCATGTGTTTATCTTTTTTGAATGCTGAGTAATATTCCATGGTATATATGTACCACATCTTCTTGATCCAGTCATCTATTTTAATCTTGAATTCACTTTTGTATCCTCCCCATACTCCAAAAGCTATTAAGAAACATGGTAGATGTGTAATAGAAAAATAATTTAGGGCCTCCCCGGGGTTGCGAAGCTGCCCACAGCCTCTGCAGCGCCAGTTCGATCCCAGGCCGCTGGGCGAGGGTCCCACATAGCACGCAGACCTCTCCTGCCACCCGCTGCTCCCCTCAGCAGTGTACTTCGTCAGTCTGCCTGTTCTCCTCTACACTCTGGCTCTGGTGAATTCTCTCACCCTCCCGCACTTCTGACTGTACCCAGTGCTTGTATAAATAAATAATCTTAAAAAAAAAAAGAAAAATAATTTAATGAAAAATATTTTGAATTAATAAGCTGTAAGTAAAAGTATTAAAATATAGTTAAAAGGGAACATTTTCTAAGGCAAAAATAGTATTGACTTAGTCCCATTTTCTTATTTCCATATAAATGCAATCGGCCAGATATTTCTAGGGGGAAAAAAAGCAAGTTAACTCTAAATTATCTTTAGGTTAACTTACATGCTTTGTGATCATTGTGTTATAAGTACTTCACTATAGATTGTTCCCAAATTAGATCCTTCACTCTCACTTCTAGATTTCCGTCAGCCAGTTGACTCTTACTAATAAAATATGAGGAAGTTTTAATGCGTAAACTTACCCATCTCACAATCTTCCAAAGTGTAAAACTGGTCTTAATTTTTAAAGTCTACATAGTACTTGAGTATGTTTTCTGAAACTATTCTATTATATACACTTCTTATTTCAAAATCCTGTGTCATACTGTTACCATTAACTCAATAACACATGAACTCCTTAGTGTTAGCTAACACCACTCCAAGGACATTCCCAAGGAAATAATTGCATAACAAAATGCTGTCTTATCTTAACAATAGCAGATGCACTTAGGCTTTTGAAGTTGAAGTACAGATGTGATGAGGGAAAATACCCATGGAAGTTTCATGCTATTAACCCAATGATATTGATCCTGCCTTATAAAACATTCCCTGTCTTTTGTTCTTAAAAAGAGGAATGGCAACAGAAGATCCAAGAGACTGATAAGCTAACCTTTAGAAAGTTTTATTCTCCCAGGAAGGAGCAAATAAATAAGCTGGAGCCAAGAGACAAAACATTGGCAAAACAGGAAAACCATCTATGAGCTTCCAGGTCAGGCTACTCTGAATTACCAGAACATGCTGGATTTATATGTTTAAGGTTTGGGCTCAAAGGTTGTCACAGGAAGGTTGTCTGGAAAAAAAAGCAAGATTTTGTCAAGCTAAGATTGCATATTGTTAAAAGAGTGGTTAGTATGACTTTCTATTACATTTTCTATTTAAATATAGTGTCTGTGTTTATATTAATACTTCTTAGCTTTTGTAGTAGTTTTCTATGAGATTTTATTTTACCTTTAGAATTCCTGCAGGTGGTCTGTTTTATTCTTCCTGTTGTACAGGTGAGAAAACTGGTGCTAAGCCGTAGCGACACATTTAAGAACATTGTTTTCATCAGTCACAAAAGATTAGAATCCTAACATTGTCACCTACTAAGTGTGTATTGTCAGTAATTGTCAGATGCCCACTAATCTAGTTTACCTTTTGGAGGCCTTGGTCTCTTCATCTTTCCGATGGGAATAATAACACCTAGGTCATTGTGGTTATTGTGAAGATGAATGAGCTTATATAAGCATTATATGTGTGAAATACTTGTTACACTTCCTGGCTAGAAGTAGGCATAAATAAAAATTAATCTTTTATCTCTAATGCTACATAGCAAATGTTCATATTAGATGTAGAAAAGCAGGGGTGAGAGGCATGCCTCGGTGCCTGTGGATATTGTGTGAGTCTCTGTCCCTGCCCCCTCTTCTGTTTTCCAACCCCTCCACATACTTGCACTTGAGTTAAGTAATTCACACCCAGGGTTAGTCTTTATCTGAGACCTTAATTTGGTTGGCATAGGTCCACCTGGGGTTAGTGTACTTTGATTGTAAATCTAGCACCAAACTAAAACTCACTGTCAAGCATCAGCAGTTCAAACCTTAAAAGTGAAAAATTGAAGTGTGACTAAGCTGCCCTGTGGTCTTCGCTCCCACTTTACTCCATGCTGATCTTTTATACCACATTTCAGGTTTGGCATAGAATTTCTCTCAAGAGGAAAAAAATAAAGAAAAAATACACATGTCATCCCTCCCCACAAACAGTTATTTTTATTCCATGGCCAGCAATTAGGTAACACAGTAACAAAGGAGACTGTTGCTTTTATCAGATTGGTAAAAATTCTCTTCTACTAAAATCAGTCCTTCTCAAGGTTTGATTCCCTTTGAAGCTAAAGTCAGTAACTAGTTTTTTTTTATAAATGATCTTGACACCTATAAGCTGTATTCACAATTTTACATCGAATGTTAGGGATGTGTTAAAGGTTTAGAGGAAGACTATTTATTTTCATATGCACTTCTTATGTTCTTAAGAAAGAGAATGCAAATCATTTTGTACTTAGAGACAGATGCTCTGAGAGATTAAAAAAATTAAAACACTGCATAAAGATGTGACATTTTAAAAAGTTTTTTCTCTTCCTCTTGTTTCTATGTAGAACTAGTAAAATACCATTTAAAGTGTGTTTATAATAATGACAATTTAGATAGTAATGGTTGACGTGAATTATAAAACTTGTTTTACAAACCTTGACATAATGAAACAAATAATTTTTCAAGTTCAAGTATTTTGTGACACCTGAGTCTCTTATTCACATAACAAGACCAAGGCTCATCCAAATAATCGAAGCATATTGCAAAGGTGTTAGAGAATTGTTGAGAAGTACAGGAACCTAACTCTTCAAAGTCCATTTATGGGACTTGAAATATAACCCTTCTGTAAAATAAGAAGTAGGATTTTTAGCTCAACAACTTCTGAGTCTATATTATTCTTTATGTGCAAACTTGAAACAATTTACATTTAATATTTTTTCTAAACTATCATCAGAACTCACATAACAGAATAACTAGTGCCAGTCAAAGAAATTTCATGATTTTTTTGAATCTCTAATATGATTTTTACTTTGAAAGAAAAAAAATACTTTTCATTTTACAATTAATGAGGCAGGCTAAAGGTGGGATGTATGTGTGTCTTTTCAGTTAACATACTCATGGGACTTAATGCATCATTCACCACTCTTTTTTATGTCATCTTTTAGGTCTCAAGTAAAGCTGGCTTATATGATACATTTTAGATATAAAGAAAAAAAAAAGAAAGATCATGGAAACTGCCAACTGATTAGCCAGAATTATTTTTGAACAGTAGAAGCCCACAATACATCCTATCAAATGGAAAGTTCTATTCCAATTAAATTTCTAATTAATGTGCGCCCTGTTGTCTTGTAGATACTGCCCCTGCCTGCACTGATAATTATGGACCCCAAGGAAAGAAGATTTCCCTAAGTCCCTCTGTGCGCCTTAAGGCAGAGAAGCTAGAAATGGTAAATACTTTAAATTTTCATTTTTCTTCCATAAAACAACAGCAAGGAAGTATTCTTTGATAGGGTAAAGTTATTACAGCCATTAGTTTCTTGCAGAGTTATGTATTTGCATTTAAATGAATGCCTGTTTGGATTTAAATTATTCAATTCATGTTTGATTTGGATAATTCATGGTGGCTCAGTAGTACAAAATAAAAAACAAATTCTTTTGTAACTAAATTGACATTCAAATTAGTAAGTTTTCTCCTGTGTAGGAATAAGACAAATGTGATGTTTTACAATCTAGAATCAAAGGAAACATGGAATAAATTATGACAAACTATACTTCATATCTAACAGCAGTAAGTACAGTGAAGTAATCCTTTGTTGTTCAACTTTTTAAAAAAGTAAAGGGAAACTAAATTCAAATGAAGAAAGTAATTGTCAGATGCCCACTAAATATAAAGAAGATGGTAGCATTTTACTCTCTTGTGGGAAAGTGAAAACATTGAGAGTTTCTATGAAAAAAACTTCAAAAGGTTGAAAAAAGAAAAATTAAAGTAGAAAAACATTTTGAAACTTCTCCTATCAGGTGACCTGGGAACTAACAGGAAAAATACTCTGTTTTTAAATTACTATAAAATGAATATAGTGCTGAAGTTCCATAGCTTCTATCCTATGAGTTTTGTAGATAACGATTTTTTCAGATTTTAGGAAGAATGTGGAAATAAATCTAGCTAGAATAAAATACACATTGCATTTTTTCTCATAGTCATACTCTGCATGGTCCTATAGCAATACCCTTTCATTGCCAACTTGAATCTTACCCCATGTTCAATTTCTGACTCAATCCAACTCCTTTGTCCAGACCTGCTCTTACAGTTCAGTTCAGTATCTGCAGCACTTGACATCACTTTGCAGAGCCCCCTACCCTCGCAGGTGTCTTGTTTTATCAATGAACTAAAGCTTCTTCATGACCATACCTGCTGTACTCTGTTTAAATACCTGGTTTGTGTTCAATAAAACTTTCTGATTAATGAGATAATTCAGAGTTTTGAAATCCTGACCATCTTTTTCTAACTTACACTGTTTGTGGATAAAAATGTAAGTACTAGCTAATGGCAAAATTTACAGTCAGGGTTAACATTTTCAAAAAAATGAAATTTTGAGATTTAAAAACATACTATTCATATCTAACAATGAATAATTATTATTCTTTAGTGATAATGCTTTACTACATGTTTCTGAACATCCAGGTTTTAATACTAATCACTCCTCTGGATGAGGAAAAAATTATCTAGCTAATGACTTTACCTGGCAATTTTTGTTGTTTGCTCAACTTAAGTCTTCCTAGCAGTGATGTATCTTTTAAAACTGATTAATTTTCTTAGAAATAAGAAATCATCCAAATTTGTGTTGATTCTGAGAAATGTAACTCAGTTACTGAATCAGAATTCCAATTTTCAGTTCTCCTTTACCCAAGCACATTGATTATTTTTGTAGAAAAATAAAAATAACACTTAGAGCAAAGGAAATATATATCCTGTTTAAATTCAGCTACTTTGCTTATATTTAAAATATATTTTGTGACTTAATTAATAGAACATTGTTTTCAGAGTTTGAAGCTATATTTCACTTAGTAAAATATGTTTTTCTAAAAGATCCATATTAACTTTTTATCCACCCAAATATTTCCTAATCTAGTTTTACTCTTTTGGATAACTCTGTATTGGTGTATCATTTCATTGTGAAATAGATCCTTCTATCTTAGTTGCTTGCTTTAGATTCAACTTTATCCTTTTAACCTATTTCCTACTCTGTAATAGATAAGGTCAATATGCTCAAGTATTTAAAATGAAATAAAATTACCTTTTTCCTTATTTTCTACAAATATATTGCATATAGCATCTTGAAAATTTGGCGTTATGGTAAGATTTCACAAAGAAAAGATGTACATTGATTATGTGGTTATTAAGTAATTAGCCTACTCACATAAATTTTTAAGATAGGCAGAATGGTCAAGAATTGGATTAGGAAATTACCTATTAATATCCATGTATGTTTTGTATTGTTTTCCTGAAATCCTCTGTTTTTCTAGTCTATGTAGACAATTTTATATCAAGATATACTGAAAAGTGACTTCCATCACACTAGTTATTAATTCATTTTCTAAATAAAGAATTGCTTCTTTTCCATAAATACCATGTGGTTGTTGTATTATACTTTTCATGAATACTCTGAGAATGATTTTATATACAGGTATTTTAAAATAATGTTACCATAGTTATATGTTGTGATATATTTTTTCAAAGCATTTCAATGAGTATTGTGTGTTATATTTGAGTCGAGTATTAAAATTTTAAGTAGGTATGGTAAACATAGCAAATAGGAATATAATTTATTAGTTGGTTAGAAGATAAAAAATTATTGCACCTCTATACTCTTTATACTTTTGTACCTGAGAAAGGTGCTTTGGGAATATAGATAACATTTCACTGATATTTACTTTTCCTCTTGCCATTTCTGTAACATTTGAAGAAAGATGTAGTGAATAATGGCATATCCAATATCTGATTATAGTTAATGAGTTGTTCTCTGTATTAGGTTGGGAAGTATGTGGCTGATATCATAAAGAGTAACATTTTTTAAAATTCATCCAGATTAGGAGAAATTAAGGACATTTATTTGTCCAGTTAACAAATTTACATTTTTATTTAAGGTTAAAGATAATATTAGTTATTCCAAAAACTACTAGAACCTACTTTGTGATGAATGATAAATAACTTTCAATTTAAATTGTGAACTTACTTCATTGACATGCTGTGTTTATCTTGAGTAAATTTTACTTTCAGCAAAATTTTCACGAAAGTTTAGTTCTAAATTAATTTGCACAGTAATTATATTTTGCAGTTTTATTATTACTTATGTGATAGGTATTTTATTTGTTAACATTTATAAAGTTGTTTTTAGTTCTTTATATGAAAATGTCACTCATGCAAGAATGATTATGCTGTATATGTACAATTTAAAAATCAATACAACAAATATAAATGTGCCCACGGCCCAGCTTAGAATGAGAACCTTTTGACCTACCTGTGTATATTGACCAGATATCTCTCTCCCTAAGGATAACTCTATTGTACATTTTGAGTTTCTCATTCATGTGCTTTTTAAAAATTGCTTTACTAAAATATTATGAAGTCCTGCTTTGAAACCTATGTATATGTTACATATGTAGCTTTAGTATATACCAAATTTTATGTAATAAAAATAAAACACTTGGGGCTGTTAAATTCAATGTGTGACAGTTTTTATCTCTAAGAAGAAGTTCAAAAGGAGCCTTTTCAGTGTTTTGTTACATTCAAAATCTGTATTAAATATACTCAAACTCTAACTTGTAATGTACTGTTTTAACAATTTGAAAAAGCATTCTAAAATGTACAAAATAAGAAGTTGTTACATAGTGATGATTTTTTTTAAACACAAAATGCTATATATAGTGTAATTTAATTTTTGTAAAAAATATGTAACTTTACATATTTTAGTATAAATTCTGCATTCATAGAAAAGTATACACCAAACTGTTAATTGTGTTTTTTTCCTCTGTATCAGTGTTTCTCAAGAATAATGGGGGTGTTTTCTTGTCCTTAGGGGATATTTGGCAATATCTGGAGACCTGTTTAGTTGTCACACTTGGAAGAATGCCAACACATTAGAAATTAAATAACAAAAAATACTCCTTAAAACTCATGAAAATTTAAAAATTGCTTAATAATTTATAAATCAAAACATTGCTAATAAACATGTTAAAAGTTTAATCTTAGGGGAATTCAAGACAGTGTACTGTTAACAGACAATGTATTGTTTCATACCCAGCATAATGACAAAAAAGAAAGTGTGAAAGCAAAATGCTGTTGAAAATGTAGAAATAGGAGAGATTATATACTAGTGGTGTGCATGAATTGGTACCATCAATTTGGAGAAAAATTTTGCAATATATTAAAGTTGACAATAGACATACCCAATTATTCAGAATTTCCTCTTCCAAGGATGGAGGATAGAGAAATTTTCACACATCTCTACAAGGAAACATGTACAATGTTTTGTAATAAATTACAGATGGAGTAATTATAAAAGTGCATTGATGAGGAAATATATAATAAATCATAATATATGCAGTGGGATACTAAAGTTAAAATAAGTAAACTAGTTTTTCGTATAACAATATTGAACAATTATGAAATATTTGATATAAAAATAAAAGTACTTTGTAATATTTTCCTTTTTGTTTTGCTATTCATGTAAATTTTTAATATACTGGAGTACTTATTAGAATATGCATGCTTATGTAGTAATAGCATCAAATCATACATAGGAAGGATATACCAATCTTAGGATCGTGGTTGTTGAGGCAAAATGGGGAAAACTTTCAACCAAGTCTATGTTTATTTCTTACATATGGGTATAATTTTCAAGTAAATATCAATGAGTACTTAGTGAGTTCATGGGTGTTCTTTGTTTTACTTCCCCACCCCCTTGTAGTTAAACATTTTTAGGACAAAAGGGAAAAAAGGACATGCAAAAATTAGTAGTCATTATTTTTGTGTTATGTAAGGCAATTATTTTTGACAGACTAGGCATACAATGCTACACTAAACTACAGAACACTTCGCAAGAATCCTTCCTGATATTCTCCCTTCCAAATCCTGTCTCCTCTCACTGTGCCCAGCCAGATAGACATTATCCACTTTGTTTTTGCCATGGTGTATATATATATATATATATATATATATATATATATATATATCCTGCTGCAAATTACTTACTACATTTATTAGCATTTTTTTAAAGATTTATTTATATATGCATACAAGAACTGGAGTGCAGGCCAGAGGTGCTGGGTGAGAGAATTCATCAGAGACAGAGTGGGGAGCAGAACAGGCGGATCCATTGAAATGCACTACTGAGGGGAGTAGTAGGTAAGAAAGGAGAGGTCTGCTGCAACGTGTGGGTTAGGGCCCTGGCCGGGATCGAACTCAACTCATTCAACTCATGCTGCAGTCACTGAGGAAAGCTTCATTGTGCTGAGACTTAACCCCTTGCGCCAGCAGGGAGGCCCATTTATTACATTTTATTCTCTTCGTAGAGGTTGTAGCTCTTTAAGGTTAGTGGCTATATATATCTTGTTCATATATCTCTTTGCTTAGTTTAATGTCTGGCAAGGCAATTAGTAAGCACTAAATAAATATCTGGTGAATGAAATGATGAATGACTAAACAGATTCTAGAGGAAGAAGAAATTTATAAGGGATAATTGTCAATACTAAACGTTGCCGATATTTTAGTTTTGATCTCCTTGTCACTATATATGTTCTTGTTAGAATTCAATAAGTAATACGGCATCTGGTCAAGCCCTGTGTATTAGCTATGATTAGGTATTGCTATAAATAACTGGAGAACCTAAAATAACATTGGTTTCCTTTAGAAAACTTTTTTAATCTTACACACAAAAGAAACCTGAAAGAAGGTAATGAGGACTGGCATGGAGGTTCCCAGAATGTCAGGGCCCCATACTCCAACTCTCTTTCTGCTCCTGGGGGTACTTCATAAACTAAAGTTCCAACAATCTTTTCTTTCCTTCTTTCTTCCTTTCTTCTCTCCCTTCTTTTCTCCCCTTCCTCTTTTTTTTATTTTTTAAATGTTTTTTTTTTAATAGAGGCATTTTTTTATTATTATTTATTTGTTTGTTTGTTTTTGTTTATACATGCACTGGGTACAGTCAGAAGCGCGGGAGGGTGAGAGAATTCACCAGAGCCAGAGCGGGGAGCAGAGCAGGCAGAAGGACCGAAGCACACTGCTGAGGGGAGCAGCGGGCGGCAGGAGAGGTCTGCGCACCATGTGGGACCCTGGAGAGTGAGAGAATTCACCAGAGCCAGAGCAGGGAGCAGAGCAGGCAGAAGGACCGAAGCACACTGCTGAGGGGAGCAGCGGGCGGCAGGAGAGGTCTGCGCACCATGTGGGACCCTCCTCCGGTGGCCGGGGAGCAGTCGGGATCGACCCGGCGCTGCAGAGGCTGCGGGCAGCTTCGCAACCCAGCGCTCAACCGCTGCGCCACCGGGGAGGCCCTCTCCCCTTCCTCTTATTCCCTCCTTTCTGCTTCCCTCCTTACTTCTTTCTTCCTTTTATTTTGGTCTTTTTCTTTCTTTTAATTAACCCTAAAGAAGAAAGGCAAGGGGGAAAGAAGTGCCTGCCACACCTTTGAAAGACTTTCCAGAAGTTCCCTGTAGCACTTTGCCTTGTATCTCCTTGGCCAGTATTGAATCACATGGCTTCATCAACCTGCAGAATGGGTTGGGAAATACCTTTTGTCTGGATGGCAATGATTCTTGCTAAAAACTATGGTTCTGTGACTAAAACCCAAGCAGGGAATGTATATTATGTTAGTCTTTGAATTTTTAATCAGTGGCTACTAAAAATGGTAGAGAGAAGTGGGTTCTAGAGAAAGCTTTTCGATTTACTATTTGGGTAAGCCTACCTCAAATTAAACTAAAAATTAGAATCTGTTATATTAACCCAATCCCTATCAACATTTGTTTTGTTCTCAGGTATAAAACATTTCTTAACCAAATACCCATATTTTAGAGTGCTGCTTATAGAAATTAAAGTTAAATCTGATTTAATAGGATTTCCTTGCTGTTATACTTTTGCCATATCACATATTTTAAACCAAGAGGTAGGTGGAGGTGTGGTTCTATGATTGTGGTTATAAATTTGGCATTATTGAATGGCCTTGCCTTGAAGAAAAAAAAAAAAGATGTGGTGGAGGTGGGATAAGGAAGCTAATATGTTTTGGAAAATTAATCTACAAATAATCAGCTAACTTTCTTGGGGCTTCTAATTCTGGTCACTGTTGCTGATATTGGTTCTTTTCACTGGGCTATAACATAAAGTTGTAATGAAAACTTTTATTCTTTGGGGATTTAAAAAATTGCTTTACATGAGTCCTTTTCCTTCTAGGCTCTAAATTATCTTGGTATTCAGCCCACAAAGGAACAACACCAAGCTCTGAGACAGCAAGTACAAGTGGACCCAAAGGGGACAGTGTCTTTTGGAGGTAATATTAGGTTCATCATGTTGTATCATTACAGAAATTTGGTAGGAGATTTATTGTGACCTGTTTTCATTAAGAGTACCTCTTCTTTAGGAAGAAGGAGAGAAAAATGAAACCACATCTATTTCAAGTTCCTCAGTCAATTCCCTAAAAGCTCAGCTAGAAATACTGGCCTGGCTGGGTCAGCAGAAAGATTCTTAGACTCTTTCAGCTCTAAAATATCATTCTATTATATTCTTTTTTATTTTTTATGTAATAGTGTTTTAATAATAATAAATAATATAAAATATAGATGTCCTAATTCTGCTACTGCGAGATTCTAATTTTTTATAGTTAGTATTCTAATTTTTTACAGTTATTAAAGATCACATAATGTTACAAACTTAGTCAATGCATTATATGTGTGTATATATATTGATAAGTTGTTTTCCAGAGACATTTTAAACATGTTTGTTCTGTGTCTTGTAATGTGTGAATATAATAGCTTTTTTGTATCTTTGACAGTGTTAAGTATTTTTCCTTATATTATAAATACAACATTATGTCATTTTAAAATATCTTTATTGCTAAAAAACTAAAATCACTTTTTGGTTTTGAAGTGATGGAAAATATAAATTTGCTCCCCTCTTCTTTTGGAAATCTTCCCAAAATAATGAGAACCAGAAACACAAATGCATGTGTAACTAAAACCACAACATATAAGGACAGAAAGTACAGGGGAAAGTAATTGACTTAGTGTGTTGAGGCAGGTATACAGCCCAGATGCTAAAGGTAGTTCACTTGCCCTATCTGCAGTCTGTAAAATAGAGAGGACTAGAGGCCCTACCTCCCAAAATTGTGAGGTGAAAGTACTTGCACAGGCTGTTACATGAGTATTAACTGCTGGTAGTATTATAATTATTGTTGTTATTATTGTTATTATTATTATTAAACATTGGGTTCTTCCTGCTAGAAAAGGTGTATCATAATAGTCACGTTTTAGGAAAAATTTTACTCATAATGAGTTAGAGGAATAGATCTGATTGTGATATGTATTTGCTTTATTATCATCTTAACTGATTTATTAACTGGTAAAATTTACTGAAGTAAGTTAAAGCAATTTCTCTCTACTTCTTATTTGAACTTATATTTATCACACCATTTTAAGGTAACTTATTTAAGCATGTTAAATTTGAAGCATCAATTATAACATATAATATCAACTTCATATAGAAAAAGTAATATTTAAATGAGATTAAGCTGTCTTCTGACTGGTATGTGTTCCATTTAGATTTTGTCCAGGTTGCCAGGAACTTGTTTTGCTTACAGTTGGATGAAGTAAATGTTGGCGCACATGAAATTTCCAACCTTTTAGATTCGCAGGTAGAGTACATGTTATAGACATGCGTTGATAACATTTGTATCGTAAATCTTGAATGTTGTATGATATGTAAGTTTTTCGTTATTTTTTAGAAATTATGCAAGTAATGCATGTTCTTTAAATAAATATGTAAAATAAGTTAATCTAAAATCAATTATAAAATTTCATCTTGATCTTCTATCTCCTCCTTTCTCACTGTCCCCTCATGTTACTCCCAACCCCTCATGCTGTACACCCCATAACAGTACTTCTATACTAATTGTAAAACCCACTGAAATTTTACAGCCTCAACTATCCTCATGTAATCAGCATCCAGGTCAGGAGATGTCATTAAAGAATTACTAGAACATTGATGCTTTCCTACCCTTTGTTTCTTTCCAGTCATTAATGCTCTCTCTTCCCCCAATCAAGTTAACTACTCATTTGCCTTCTAACACAGAATTGTTTTACCTGTTTGTGTGCTTTATATAAAATGGATTTGTGAAGTCTTGTTAATTTTGTAATCACTTCTTCTACAGAATGTTAATATTTATATTGACATATCTTTCAGTCTTTGTCATTTAAAAATATTGTATTAAGGAAAGCTTCCCTCTATTACATATAATTTGTGTATTTAATTCACTCTAAACTTATTCCTGTCTACCCAAATGGATAACCACTTGCCTTTGTTTTATTATCATTTATTTAATGACCATCTTCTCCATTTTTGCCACTAACTTGAAATACCAACATTGTTGTATACTAACTTCTGCCTAGTTATACAGGTCTCTCTGCCAGTACAATGCTATTTTAATTATTCTGGCTTTATAGTTAATAGATTCTTTGTTATCTGGTAGGTTAAATCCTTGGATTTATTTTCACTTTTTATAATCATTTTCCATAGTAATAAAAATTCAGTTGGGACTTTTTTTCATTGGAATTGCATTGAACTTAGAGGATGAATTGGGAAACAATTAACATGATTTTTTTCCTCCACTCATTCTGGGTTTTGCTAATGTTTTAGGGAGAGAAAATTATATCTTGAATATTTTTTGTTGAATCTGAATAATTATAGTTTGTGATGCTATTGGTAATGACATTTTTTTTTTCAGTGTTAAGTTTTCTTTTTTTTTTTAAAGATTTATTTATTTATACAAGTACTGGGTACAGTCAGAAGCACGGGAGGGTGAGAAAATTCACCAGAGCCAGAGCAGGGAGCAGAACAGGCAGACTGACGAAGTACACTGCTGAGGGGAGCAGTGGGCATGGCAGGAGAGATCTGCACGCCATGTGGGACCCTCGCTGGTGGCCGGGGATTGAACTGGTGCTGTAGAGGCTGCGGGCAGCTTCGCAGCCCAGCGCACAACTGCTGTGCCACGGGGAGACCCACTGTGTTAAGTTTTCTGATGATTAGAAAGATACTAACTTTTGAATGGTTCTTTTATGTGAAACCATCTTGCTGAATTTTCTTCTTCCAGTTGTTTTGCAATTTCCCTTGGATAAACATTTAAAATTAATTATATATTTTCTCTCTCATGAATTTTAACCTTTTCTTAGTATTTTTGAAGAGGAGCAGCAAAAGTGAGCAAGAAAGAAATTTCCATGATATTTGAATCACTTTACATTTAATTTTCTTATAGCTAGTATTATCTTACTGAAAAATAAAGTTTTATACCATTTTTATTTTCTGGGAGAGTTTAAATAACAGAAACTTCGGTTCCTCCAAATTTTGTTTCAGAAGAGAAATTTTTACTTTTAAAGTCTTCTAAGATTGTTCAAATTCTTGTCCTTTTCTTGAATCATTTTATTAATGTTTGTCTTCCTTTCATTAAGATATCAAATTTATTAAAAATTAATATGGAGCGTTTTATTCCCCCAGTATTTAATTTTTATTTTTGGTGAAATTGATTTTTATTTCATAGATGGCAATATCTCATATAATTTTGTTTAATGTAATGAACAGTCTCTTGTACTACTAAGCATGTTGTCCAATCACCCAAAGACTTAATTGTTTAGAAACTCTCAGGAGATCACCCATTTTCCTAGAATCGAGGCACAGATTTATTAGAGCTAATTCTGTAGCATTTAGGGTAGAAAAACTGAAACTGTAAGACCATGTTTTTTTCCTACTGTTCATTCAGATGCTATGTTTTTGTTTTTTTTAAGATTTATTTATTTATTTATACAAGAACTGGGGTACATGTCAGAAGTGCAGGAGGGTAAGAGGATTCACTAGAGACAGAGCAGGGAGCAGAACAGGCAGACTGATGGAAAACACTGTTGAGGGGCGCAGCGGGCAAGACAGGAGAGGTTTACCTTGCTATGTGGGTTTCTCCCTGGCCTGCCGGAATCGAACCCATGCTGCAGATGCTGCAGACAGCTTCACAGTGTTGCGCTCAATCTGCTGCGCCAACGGGGAGGCCCTGGATGCTATGTTTTTATCTACCTAATTTTGACAACTAAACATTGTTTTCTTACTGCCAAACAATTCCTATCATACCCTCTTTTGATGAGGAAAGACAATGGTGGTTAGGTGGTTTACAACATAAGTGAAGTGGGTGATTGAGAGTGCTTTGTATGAACGTGCAAAACTTTTCTTCCTAGCTGCAAAGAAATAGCCTGCTTCAAAATAGTAATTTAGTTCCTCCTTACCAATACGATTTTAGGGCATAAGAATGTATTCAGTCTGTGATACTTTGATAGTAAGACCAGAGTGCTAATGGCAATTGTGCAAGGTCCTCTGTATGCCAGTAATTTCCTTCCTGTTTGTGACTTCATATCAAAATGTTGTGCAGTAAGCATTAGATCAGTTTATAAGGTTTCCTTTGTTGTATTGTGCTTGTCAACACACAGAAGATATCCTTGTAAAGTGTTGGCTGTCCTTTTTGTTCACTTGAATCCACAGTTAGAATACATTTTATTTCACACACATATATATATTAAAAATTGGTCTTATAATTTACTAACAGGTCATATACCACAGTTTGAAAGACACTATAAAAATCACTGCTTGTCTAGCAGCTCATCAAAAACAAGTAAAACTCTATTTTGTGGTGTAATTCTTAATTTTTTTTAGTTAAAAGCCAGAATTGCTTCTTTTGAAGTATATCAACTGATCTGTTGTTGAGAAAGCTGACACACTACTAGGGTGGGGGAATTCCACTGTGGTTATCCCTTGAACTTTCTCATTGTTACAAACAACAGAGTCAGAATTTATAATCCATTTGTTAGGAATGGTTGTCTTTTACTTTTGTGTTTCCTCTTTTTGACTGTTAGAGATGGCTTCTTTTTTCCTTAATATATTTTAAAAATAATTTTATTGAGGTGTAATGGACACAGTAAAATAGAAAAATCCAATTGTACAACTTTCAGGTGTGATCTCACTCAAAAGCTTCTTTCCTGCCAACTTCCCAGCCAGCCATCCTGTCCCCCTTCACACTGTTCTTATTGCTATTGGCATAGATTACTTTTGCCTGTTCTTGAACATTATAATAATTAGAATCGTAAAACATGAGCATGTACTCCTTTGTAACTAGCTTCTTTTGCTCATCCTTTAATCTAATTTCATGGGGAATTGCTGAATCAGTATATATCAGTGCTATTTTGGTTTAGATGACAAACATCATTTGGTTTTGGAGAAAAATGGCACACCAAAATATATAAATTTTAGAACCAAAGATATATAATTATCTCACTATTTATAACCAAAAATATATAATTAACTCACTATAACTCTAATCACTGCTACAGCTGCTGCACAGGTTATACCTTGGTACCAGGTTACACACAGAAAAGGCAAGGTTGGTGCCTGCACTTAGAATATGATAAACATCAGCTCATCAGATGAAGAGTTTACCATAGTGATCAAGTATCATGAATGGATTATCTTAAGATCACGGACTAAATGTTGTAAATCCCCTAATACAGGCTGTCCACATTTGGGTTCTTGTTAAATCAATTACCCCCCAGCATTTTAACAACTTAAACACAATTGAATGGCTATATCAAAAGTAAATTGTGGTAAGAGTGCCCGTTTATTAGCTATGAAACCTTAGGCAAATTACTAATATTTTGAGCTCATTTTCTCATCTGTAAAAGATTATAGTAACAATATAATATTGCATATATCCATACATATATATTTCTTAGCACTGTAAATGCACAAGTTACTAATAAATGATTGATATTATTAATAATTTGTATTGTTTTCCTACTCTGAATCACTTTTCCTAACTGAAGTACTCTTTTAAGCCCAAATTTACAGCTATCACATTCTCCACTTAATCCTTTAAATTATATTGCCTTATTTAAAAATTCTGTTATAACTTTTAAATATTAATAGAAGATGACTATAATTAGAACTTGGATTTTTACCTCTGATAAGTTTGTCATTGTTTTTTACCTTGTAGTTAAAAGAAATCATGTAGAAGTAAAAAAAAAGTTGTCATTTTTGCTATTCTGTAGTTGTTCACATGCACATGAATTGCTAAAATTATTTTCAATCACAGTTCTATGCAGGAATCTTTTTAAGCCACTTGACTGTTATATTACATTGTTTAGGTAAAAGAAGACACATAATTGATTAATAGAATTTATTGGGTTCATGTAAACTATCTTGGTTGATAATGTCCAGTATTTTATTAACCTTAGAAACCATGTATTTGAAGTGGATGTCTTTATGGAATAGACTATGTTCATAACTCTAAGGAAGTCTTTCTCTTAAATTGAGGCAATATAGGTTTACATTTTTGTATTTTAGGAGTACAGGATCCTCCCCTTAAGGTGTTAATACCATAGTGCACCCACCACCAAAGTACCCACCATAGGCTATTGTGTTCCCCATAAAGTCTTTTTTGACATTATAAACAGTATTGGTATTTAGACTTTTTAGGAAAATTACATTGTTCAAATAAGAATCATAAAGATGACAACAGAGAATATATACTTCATAAAAATCTAAATTCTGTTTTAAGAAACAGTAGCATAAAGTTAAGCTTAAGTGAAATCATCTGATTCCAAAATATTTATTAATAGAATGCATAAGCCTAAGACTCATCAAAAAGAATTTTTATGTTCCTTCTTATAATTAGTATCTAATGCATAACTTTTGTATTTTAATGTTGACAGCTCCTTCACTGTGATTCTTTAGAAGCAGATGAAATGGAAAGACTTAAGCGTGAAAGAAATGATGCACTGGAAGAAGTGAATAGACTTAAGGTAACTTCCAATTTAATTCCCTTACGTTTTCTTTAGAAAAAAGGAACAGGGTCTCCCCGGTGGCACAGTGGTTGAGTGCTGGGCTGCAAAGCTGCCCGCAGCCTCTGCAGCACCTGTTTGATCCCCGGCCACCGGCGAGGGTCCCACATGGTGCGACAGACGTCTTCTGCCATGCCCGCTGCTCCCCTCAGCAGTGTACTTCGTCAGTCTGCCTGTTCTGCTCCCCGCTCTGGCTCTAGTGAATTCGCTCACCCTCCCGCACTTCTGACTGTACCCAGTGCTTGTATAAATAAATAAATAAATCTTTCAAAGAAAAATTAAAAAAAGAAAAAGGAGACAAAAGAAAATGATCTTGTGTTGAGTTCTGAAGTAGTAGAGCTTAGTTTTATTTTTAACTAAAGAATATGCCATCAAGCAATTTAATATTGATAGCAATTGTTATTGGTTATTAATATAAGAATTGTTTGAAATTTACTTCTTTTTAAAATTTTTTTAAAAAATTATTTTTATTTATTTTTGCATATAAGAACTGGGGTCTAGGCAAGAGGTGCAGGGGATGAGAGGATTCACCAGAGACAGAGTGGGGAGCAGAAGAGGCAGAACTACTGAAATACACTGCTGAGGGGAGCAGCAGGCGAGACAGGAGAGGTCTGCTAAGCTTCGTTGGTTAGCTCGCTGGCCAGGGATCGAGCTCATGCTGCAATGGCTTACTATATCTTTATAGCTCTGAGACTTACCCCTATGCCATGAGGGAGGCCCTGAAATTTATTTCTTTAGTTCACATTCAGAAAGTTAATTTTTTAGTCCACACACTTATTGTTTATGTTTGCATTATTCAGGTAAGATTTATTGCAGGTAGTAGGTTTTGTACATATCTTCTGATCTCTGGCTACTTGTCACCTTTTTTTCTTCTTTTCACATTTGTGGCAAGGATGGGAAGCCAAGAAAGATTGGGTGGGGAGCCAACAAAGAAAACTATGACAATTTTGGATCTTCAGCTGTTCATTGGGAAATACATTTCTCCCACATTCATGTTTATGCTTCAGGGACATCTTGTTTTGCTAACATAATTTAGAATTAAGGCAGTGTGACTTAAGGGAAGAAAAAGCACACAATCTATCCCAAATGTACCTTAAGATTTTGATTTTCTTTATATATTCTCTTTTTTTTAGTAAAATATCAAATTTAAATGATATCCTTATTTTTACAGAAATCCTTTATATTTTCTAAATCTTCAAGAAGAGCAACTTACCTGCTTGATTTATCATTAATTCACCATGGGAAGATATTTCTAAATTATTTTTAATTATTTACTTAAATGAAATTCTATTGTTTATTTTTTATTAAAGGAATATCTTTGTAATAAAGAATGAAATTTCCTTACCACCTTAGTTTTTAAATCTAAACTCTTGAGGAAGCTATTAAATATATCTTGTTTATTCTCTCAGTTTCTTTTGTACCCAGTCATATTTTCCTAAATATATATATATAAATAAGTATGTATTTTAACTTTTACATAAATTCCTTCATATGTTGCCCATTTTTTTACAGCTTGCCTCTTTTTCTCTAGTTAGTATTATGGATGAAGCTACTTTTCAGGTTAATATATATAGACTTGTCAAATCCTAGGTTATTTGGCCAGTTCCCTATTGATGGATATTTAGGCTATTGCCATTTCTCATTATTAAAAATAGTTCCACCATAAATAGCTTTGTAGTTATATCTTTGATCAATTGTACAATTGTAATAGTTCAAATTGAATAAATTTCCATTTGTATTATACACACAAAGAAAAATAATAGAGGTTGTTAAATAAAATTCATAGACTATGTAGATAGTTTCTCATCTCTTCCTGTTATATTCTGTGATATCTCTATTCTTCCTGTCAAACATGAGGGACAAATAAAAACTTGATGCCAATGACTAATTTTTATTTTGCAAGAATGATTTTTAAAAGTGCAGTAGGCTTTGTTTAACCTGAAGCCTTTCTGCAGAATTTACAATGCTGTTGTTTGCAAAGCAGAAATAAAATAGATGTATTTTCCACTCACAGATGTAAAAATCTAGGACACAAAGAGTGAAGGTGATTTGCTGAGCATGAAAGCAGGGGAGCCAGTGCACTTCACTCCTGGTCTATGGAAGATTCATTAGATTGCTATATTATATTCATCTTCATCACCCTCATTTCATTTCTCAGACAGAATGATCTGAAATATACCAGAAAGCAGATTGCTTCTTATAGCATTGCAATGTTGCCCTGAATATATACTGTTCCACTTAATCTTCGAGCAATTCCTAGGCTTGTCTATAGTATAATGGTTATTAAATTACTCTTAGTATTTCTAATTTGAGCAATAAATGTGGATTTATTTATGAAATACTTAAAAAATTGAACATTTTAAGGCATATCTTTATCTTAATTTTAAGTTCAAAGATGATAATATTTGATTTGTGTGAAAATTATTTTTCTACCTTAATAATTAATTCATATTTTGGTTATACCAGCCATATCTTCATTTTTATAGATAATCTTCTAAGAGTCAGCTAAGTTAGGAAGATAATAGTTAACCCAATGGTATGTTTCATGTTTAGTACAGTAAGAGACCTTTATTTCTCACTTGGAAGTATATACTTTCATAAAATATAAAGCAAGGATGCTTTATAATATCCCAAAATTTACCATGTAAATGATGCTTTTCAATTTCTAAGTTCTTTGGTGATGATAAGTATTACCAAAAATTCAGTTAGTATTTATACATGTTGTTCCTGGTTCACTTTTGGTCATCAGATTTTGAGATTTTACAAAATGGCTAACTTGTGAAACAGAAATAGGAAATATATTTCTATCACACTTATATAGGAAATAACTAATTACTTCTAAATGGCATGTAGAAAGCCAGAAAAGTAACTGGGACTACATTTTCAGATTGCAGCACTTGGATGTTTGGGGAATTTGAAATAAAACACTAAAAAGTTATCCATTGATACCCTCATAGCAATTTACTAACTCAGTGATTTTTAAATACAGGAAAAATTGTTTGAATCAGAAAGGCAAAGGAAACAATTAACAGAAGAACTCCAGATTGTGAAACAAGTAAGTGCATGTGTGGTATACATGTGTTCCGTGTGCATGTGTAAACAGATATGATATAAAGCAAGGATGCTTTATAATATCCCAGAGCTTACCAATGTATATAATAGTATAAGATGTCTGTATCTTAAAAGCAATCACACTTAGAGGCTGTATCTGTGTTGAAGTCCTGCTACTATTGCTCAGATACTAAAACTACTCTTCAAAATTGCTTTCAAAACCAGAGATCCATCCATGGACTGAAATGAAATGATCAGTTTCATTGCTGTTCTATATTTTTTCTTTTTTCTTCACCTTCCCTTGTCCTTTTCTCTTTTCCTTCTCTTACTCATAACACATTTTACTGAAGGAAAACACAAACCTGCAAAAACAAAAAACCCTCAGTGCAGAATACTTTTTCACTCTGCATCAGTGTTCAAAAATTTCAGGGAGCTTACAACAAAACAGATATGATTACATTATCATAAAATAGTTTTACAAATAGCAAATGAATAGAAAGTTAAGACAACATTGCTAGGTATCAATGGCAATCTACAGATTTTGACTCTCCCCATAAAATCCCCCAGAAAACATAAAGTCAGCAAGTAAGAACAAATAAAGGCTTATAGGATCCATTCCTACAACATGAACAGAGAACACTACAACCTTCAGAGTACATGTTAAACAGACTACAAAAACCCCAGCGACGTCCGGCAGCTTGCCTGCCACTGAAACCTGGATACAGTAGAACAGAGGGGAAATGAGGCTTAAAAGACTAGGAATAAACAGAGCAATTAGATAAAGTAGAAATAAAATCACCCAGAAAGAGAAAATGCAACAGTTAATGCCAAAATACTGAGCACAGGTTAGGATTCAGTGGTTCTCAGCACTTGAAAGTGTGTATAGCACAAGAGGCAACCTTATAGAATCATTGCTTCTGGGGAAGAACCAAGTAGAGGACTGATATCCTTTGGAGACAGGCCCAGAAGGGGAAAAAGGAAATAAGAGAGGAAAATTAAGGATCTTGCAGAAATGAAAGAGAAACAAGAAATACCAATTCTCTCCATTTACCCTGCCCCTTGACCATCAAAACCTGATCCATAATAGATGTTGCACAGAAGAGGGTGCTGTTGAATTAAGAACTTGTCTATGAAAGAGAAAGAAGTAGGGGGAAAGGAATCTGTTTCCAACAATATAAAACAACGGTAAAAATCAGTCAGTATGAATTAAGGCCCTCCTCCTTATGAAAACTTCCCAAAACAATTCAACTACAAAGCTGAAGTAAACTGTAACATAACACTGTAAACTCAAATATTCACAAGCATTTTGGTACTAAGAAAAAAAAAATCTCACATCAGAAATTTTAAAACTTAGCATAGAAATTGACAAAAAAAAAATCAGGAAGAAATAAAATGAGAGTTCATAAAGCTTAGGAAAGAAATAGAAGACAGCATTATATTGGAAATGGACAAGCTACCCAAGGAAGAAATTACTCAAAAGAAGAATCATTGAAGAAAACCAGAAAAATGAGAATAAAGTAAAGAAGTAAATGAGGTTCTTAAAGAATTAAATCCAAACATCTGAATAGCACTAACATTTTAAACTGTAATCCAAGAAAAACTTTCAGATACAATAAGAGACCTGAATTTATAATTGGGGAGTAGAGAAATTTGACTTAGCTAGGTCAACTCTAAGGCATTTCCAAGTGAAACTATTAGACTTCAAAGACAGAGAAAAGAATGTACAGAACTTCCAAATGAAAAGATCTAACAGCTTATAAGGAAGTAGAATTAGACCATCATTAACCTTCCCACACAACATGCAAAGTACTGCAATAGTGGAGAGACATTTTCAAGAAATTAACAGAAAATGTAAATCAAGAATATTGTATAGAACCAAACTAACTCTCAAATATCAAGGCCATAGAAAAGTGACTTGGAATATGCCAGAATTTAGGGAATAGTGTATATAGGTAGTATTCCTGCGGAATCTAGTAGAGGATATGTTTCATGACTGGAATAATTTGTCAAGAGTCAGCGAGGCCCCAATACAGACCTTCTTAAATACCAAAACAAAAAATTTTAGAGCAAAGAGGGCACACACAATAAAGAGAATGTGCACAATAATTCCAAAAAAAGGGCCTCCCTGGTGGTACCAGGGGTTAAGATGCAACCTATGAAGCTGTCCACAGCCACTGACGGCAGCCGTCCGCAGCTACTGCAGCACGAGTTCGATCCCTGCCCAGGGAGCTACCCACATGGCGCAGCAGACTTCTCCTGACTTGCCTGCAGCTCCCCTTAGCAGTGTACTTCAGTCAATCCGCCTGTTCTTTCCCCCACTCTGTCTATGGTGAATCCTCTCACCCTTCCACCTCTGACCTGTATCCCAGTTCTTGTATGCATAAATAAATAAATCTTTTAAAAAAATAATAATTCCAAAAAAAGACAATTTGACAGAATTGAGGCCAAACATAAGTCATCTTAATTAACATGAATGGTGTTAACACATCTATTAACTCTTAGCAAAATATAGCCTGACCAAAAGTTCAACAGACCAATTTCCATAGAAGAAGTAAAGTTACCTAGAAACTACCCTACAGAAAAGGACCAGGCCAGATGGTTTCACAGGGAAATTTAACCAAATCTTTGACAATCAAACCCAATGCTACATAAAAGGCTTCAGAATATAAAAAAAAATAAGAGAAAAATTCTAAACTCTTTTCTTGAAGCAAGTATAACATTTGATGCTTAAACCTGAGAAAAATAGCACAAAAAAAAGAAAATGTAAATAGACAAGCAAGCAGCTTGGGACATATGAAATGGAGAAGAAAAAATAAGACTGTTTCTGCATGCCAAATGACATAATAGTCATCCAGAAAACCTTGGAGAATCAGTGATACAGCTAACTTAATTCCCAAGCTAGCAATGTATAAAGTTAATGTGCAGAACTCAGGAAAAAAAAAGATGAAAATGGCCCTTAAACAATTAAAAATATTCTTTCTCATAATAAGAGAAATACCAATTAAATCTACACTGAGATAGGACTTCAACCTTCTAGTATGATACAGTAGGAAACTGATGGATGGCATAAGTCAGCTCAAAAACCAGCACATTCTACAATAAGCATCTGCTGAAGGAACTGGGGAGGACAACCAGACAAACTGTTCGTCTTGGAGGAGGTGAACTATGAACTAAATTTCCTATTTTAGGCCTTTAGCCTGGAGCTAACAGCAATTCAACAACAGGGGAAATTGACTCTTTTGCAGTCACTTGATATTTGGAAATGGTTCACAGGGCCTCCCCAGTGGCGCAGTGGTTGAACGCTGGGCTGCGAAGCTGCCCACAGCCTCTGCAGCGCTGGTTCGATCTCCGGCCGCCTGCCGGTGAAGGTCCCACATGGCGTGCAGACCTCTTCTGCCGCGCCCACTACTCCCCTCAGCAATGTCTTTCGTCAGTCCGCCTGTTCTGCTCCCCACTCTGACTCTGGTGAGTTCTCTCACCCTCCCGCACTTCTGACTGTACCCAGTGCTTGTATAAATAAATAAATAAATGAATAAATCTTTAAAAAAATAAAATAAATAAAATGAAAATGGCTCACAGACAAGTCAATTGAGAAAAGAAGTTTGTCACAAAACATGGAACTAAAACAGAAAATAATTGTGTGAGAAAAAATTAATCTCAACCCCTAGCTCATATCATTCTCAAAATCTAACTAAATAGCTTATATATCTAAACATAAGGACTAAAACTATTAATTTTTAGAAGAAACTTTTGTAACCATAGGTTAAGCAAAGTTATCAAAGTGTATACCTAACATCAGTAAATTTTATTATAGGTAAATTTTTCCTCATCAAAGCTCATTAAAAAAAACTATGTTAATTTCTCACCCGTCAGATTAACAAAAATTCAAAGGCTTGATAGTACATTGCTGGCAGGACTGTTTTAAAACATTCTGGTACATTGCTGGTGAGAATGTAAAATGGTACACCCCTATGATAGGAAATTTGGCATTTCTAACAAATCTATGTATGTGTTTACCCATCAGCCTGACAATCTCACTTCCAATAATCTACCCTGAAGGCATATGTCCAATAATATTATAATATATATGCATAGTAGTTATTGCATTGTCATTTGTAATTAGAAAATATTGTGACCTACTTTAATCTCTCAACGTAGGTAATTGATTGAATATACTATGGTACATACATAGAGTGTATATCACTGCATGAAAGACTAAGAACAGTATCTACTAAGTACTATGCAGTGATTTCCAGGAGTTATTATCAAGTTAAAAAAGCAAGGTACTAAGGCAGATAGATAAAGATAAATAGATAGATAGGTAGAGGTGGAGAGGGGGAGAGAAATAGAGAGGAAGGGAGAATGCTTTCTTTTATAAATAAGAGAAAATATAAATCAGTTTATCTTTACAAAAGAAACCAAAAGAGGGTTAAACTACCAAGCAGTGATCTAGGTTATCTACAATGTGGGTGGGTAAGATACAGGAGGGAGTGACACCCGTCTAAGAACACTGTTGAATGTAATTTTTACTTTTGGGTAATGTTCACATTCTACACATTCACAAGATATGTAAAGAAATCAAAGATAGGAAAGGGAAAATAAAGTAAAAGCAGACTAAAACAAATGAAACTATTTGTATTTCAAGTGAATGCCATAATCACACTAAAGGTGAAAAAAAGGAAAGAACCCATCGAAGTAACTTACGATCATATTTGTGTTGAGTGTTGACAATTTGGAATACAGTGGAAAAGAACTGGAGACAAGTCCTGAGTCCTTTTTAGTATTTGCTTTGTGGTTGTTACAGAGTTATGATCAAAGCAATTCTGAAACTACTATAGGATATTTTATAGGTCTGGGCAAATGTGTTGATTGTTGTTGAAAGCCAGAATCTCAATGAAAAAGTAAAGAAAAAATCCTGTGGGACAGCCTGGGATTGGAGGTCTAATGTGAACATTCTAAAATATGTTTGTGCATGTGCACACATGTATGTGTATATATGTATAT